TATCAGTATTGTTTTGTTTTTCACAAGGAAAAAATCAGAGGGACTGCGGCTGCTGCATACATCAATTCGGTGGGTAGCTTTTTCAATTGGTTGCTTGGAAGATTTGATTGGTTTCAAGTTCTGTTTTGAAGTATTGTCAGTTTCGGCTGGTGCTCGGAGATTGAATTGGGTTATTATTTTGGGCCTTCTTCAACTCTATTTCGAAGATTTTTGTTTATCTATTTAGTGAGATTTTTCCTTTTGTTTATTTGGAATTCACCTAAGGGTAGTTTGTAAGACCATTCGTATTTCGTTTGTAAACGTTTAGAAACTATTTGGTTGATAGTGGAATCAGATTTCGATCCCGTGGATGTACCTTATATTGAGGGAACTACATAAAATTCTTGTGTTGCTTTTGATTTTATTTTTCCGTATTAATTTTTATTCTCATTGAATAATATACTTATAGAAAATCATTTATTTTTCGCTAACACAACTGTGTTTGCATGACATATTTGATAATTTTAACATTTTTTTTTTTTGAACATATTGACAATTTTAACATTGGAAAGTAAGATTAAAGAATCATTAGGTTGACTTGACCAGCGTGAGTCTGCATGTACAGAATGTGAACGAGTTCTCGGTCAGAATTTTGGATTTGTCGACGATGCCGACTAACGTCTAAATAAAGTTTCGGCTGTTCCACCCATCAATTAATATATTAAATTTATGTATTAATATGTGTTGTAATATTATTATTTTAAAATTATAATTTCACTCATGATATAAATTATAAAAATATAAAAATTTTAAAATTATATTATATAATCTGTTAATATATTAATTAATATATCAATTTGTGCATATAACATTATTCATAAAGTTTTAAGACCAAAAATTGAATAATACTATATATACCAATTGGTATACTTAAATCTATTAACGGATGATGGAGTATAATTTTAGAGATTTTAAATCTTTATAATTTAAATAATGGGTGGGAGTCATAGTTTTAAAATAATAATATCATAATATATGTTGGTATACTAATTAGTGTACAAATTGGTGCGTGTAGCACCGCTGCAAAAAATTAGATCCAATTTTTAATGGCGGTACAATATGCACCAATTAGTACACTAATTGATGTATATAATATCAATTAGTACACTAGTTAGTACCCTAAACAAGTGATGTGAGAATTAATTAGAATATTAAATGCAACACTCACTACAAGAAAAGGGAGTATAAAACACGGAACCTTTTGCGACGGCGCGTTCCCCGTCGCAAAAAATGATCTTTTGCGACGACAGATGAGCCCGTCGCAATTAAAGAGATTTAGCGACAGCAGTTGTACCATCAGTAATAAAACAACACCGGGAGTGTGATAATACGGAAGTATTAGCGACAGCGCTTTTCACCGTCGCAAAAAATAATTTTTTTGAGACGACAAAAGGTTGCTGTTGCAAATAGTGGACAATTTGCGACGGCAAATGTCCGTCGCAAAAAAACCATTATCAAAATGGCGCCGGTTTAGCAATATGTATTTATCATTTGCGACGGTGTACAATTTACAGTCGCAAAAAAGTAATAACAAAAATTTGCCCCGCTCCCCAATTTTTGGCGCTCGATCATTTCGATCGAAATCCCTAAATCTTTGAAATCCCTCAATCTTTGAATCATTTGGATCGAAATCCCTAAATCTTCGAAATCGCTCAAAACCCATTCGCCTATCAGCCACCGCCAGCCATCTTCAACCCAGCTTTCACAGCTTCTTCTCAGGCGAAGTTCTTCGGCTCCGGCGACCCCTCCAATCGAACCTCTCTCTACATGCTCAAAACCCATTCTTGGAAGCTTCAAAACAATGCCAATCGCAGCAATGGTGCTTCTGCTGACTCTTCCCTGAGGACTCAACCTCAACTTCAACTTCGTTCAGGTATATATCTGTTGATTATGAATCAGGGGTTATTTAAATGAGTTTTGGATATTCTTTTTCTATGTTAAGATAGTCTTTATGAAGAAAAATTATTTAGTGCTATTGAATTATTATTCTAATGTCTTTATGAATTACATAAATTTTTTCATTATGGGGTTTAAAAAACATTGATGTTGGCACGCAATAAATTTTCCTCAAAATCCCCATAGTCTCTCTAGGTGGCACACAATGAGTTTTCCTACTATGCCCGTACCTCCATAAATCACCATAGCCCAACTAGTAGTAGTTGGAGACATTATTTGGATTGGGAGTGTTTGGTAGTTTGAAATAATGGCAAATGGGTAATGGGTCCAACCTACTGTGGATGCAACTTGATAATCAAGAAAGATGTATAGAGAGCTTGCTGGTTGCAGCCTCATCTAACCACATTGACTTAAATGAATGTTGGTTCCCAAGTAATTGATCTCTTGGGCAAATGTGTACTTTTCCTGAGTGTTAGATAGATAGATGCACAAACTCCAGCAAAAACTAAAATAATGTTAATATGATGAATGAATGAATGAACGAACCCAATTCATGATGAATCCCTTCACTTTAATCTCATAAATTAATGGTTCAAATCTCTATTACAGCATGTTGTTGAGATTGGGAATTAACTACTGCTTCTTAAAATTTTGTTCTTATTTTTGTGATTTGCAGAAAAAAATAAATAACAAACAAATAATAATTAATCACAGGGTGATTGGCTTAGTGGGTGATTTGTTTATTTTAGAAAATAGAGAAAAACGTTAGAAATATATAAATAAAAAAATTAGGATTTTAGTTTTTTTTTATAACAATTATTGATATATAATATGACAAAGTGATCAAATTATTGAGGAATAGGATGGAGTACATCATTTTGCTTGACTTTTGTTGTTTTTATGGCAAATGTATAACCATGTTTAGTAGGCATGTGGAGGGTCAAAAGGCAAAAGAAAACCTCACAGATGTTCTTTTCTTTTTCTTTGCTTTGTTCTTTGATTTCTCAGCAGAGGTCTTCACTTTAGTTCTATTCCAACTTTCTCCAATTTTGTTGCATGCTACTTACTAGATGTTGCGATGAGTTTCTCTTTACTTTGATTCCAAGGAACGTCTTTCTTTTGTGCTTTTTTCCTATGGATTGAGAATTAATATCATGGTGTTTCTCTTATGGTACGTTTAGTGTCTGGCTGCCTACAATATTGGGAAAATGTCTATTAATTGATCTTCTACTGTGAAGGTAGTGCTCAAAACATATCTTAAAGTCAAGGTAGTGCTCTTTTTGGTCATATATGTATTCTCCTCGTGAAGACAACAAGGACCAAAGTTTGATAATTAAAAATAGTAGCAATTTCAATTACAAATAGTGTTAAAATTAGAGAACCAAGTGCTTGCCTACAAGGCTCTAGTATGATAGAATAACATGGTGCTTGCACTTTGTTTTGAACTAAGTGTCGTTTTTTTTAGAACTAAAGTGTCTTATTCATGTCAAAACTTGTCGTATGTTTTAGAACTAAGTGTCTTACTCAAAAGTTTTTTAAACTTAAGGAGTCTAAATGAATATGATCTTCATATTCCGTCTCAAATCAATTCATTTTAGATCCTTAAAATTTAATGGATAGCTATATTCATTGCTATGGAATGGAAGTGTACTACTTGTTTTGAGAGATGAGGGTGTAATACGTAGGTATTATATTTAGAGTTACTTTGATGAGATATTTTTGTGGATGTGTACAGATGATGGATAAGAGTTGGATTGATTTTCCAAATAGGATGTCGAGCGAATACATTAATGGGATTGATGAATTCCTTGTGTTTGCCTACACCAATAGGGTTGAAGGTTTGATGATCAGTTGTTCGTGTCGGAAGTGTGAGAATCAATACCATCTTGTACGAGAGGGTGTACGGGAGCATCTGATTTTGAATGGTTTTTTTAAAAAATACAAACATTGGATTAATCATAGGGAATCTTACGTATCTCTGCATGGTAATCGAGAGAATGAAACATTAGCTAATTTAGACATTGGGGATGATATGATTGGAATGATACAAGGGACTATGGGAAATCCACATGCCGGTACAAATGTTGAGGGTAATGAACCACAGGGGCCTGATCCCCATGCATCTGAACCCCAGCTCGGTCCAAATGCACACTACAAGAAATTGCACTTTTGGCGACTACTTTTGGCGACGACGTCAATTTTTCATCGCTAAAAGTATATATTTGGCGACACAGTGATCAATTTCGTTGGTAAAAGTATACCTTTACCGACGCAATTTGTTGTCGTCGCTAAAAAGGCATAACATTATTTTAGCGCCAAATTTTTTGGTTGGCGCCAAAATTTCAAAACTTTTATCTACGAGGCTTATGTTTTAGCAACACAATGAGCGTTGCTGTTAGTGTGCTTACTTTTGGCGACGACAAGTTGGCGTGGGCAAAGAGTTAACCATTTAGCGACGATGACACTATTCGTCGGTAAAAGTTTTGCTAGTGGAATGATGTGATAGTGATTTGTGTTTTTTATTATAATTTTTGAAAGAGTTTTGAATGTTTTAGTTTTTGAATTGTAAAATTAAAATGATCATTGAATTAGATCACAAAATGAACCCATTGAGCCCAAACACACTCTTAAGTTGAGATGACTAATTTGAGATAATTTAAACTTTTTCAAAGAATATGGTTAGATTATCAATTTCAATATGTTTGTTTTTATTTTCAGAAACTAGTTTTAATTTTTTTTTTCCTAAAAAATTAAAAACAAATTGGGTGAAAAAAAAATTACTTATTATTTTTGTATATTTTTATCTTTTAGGTCATAAATACTTTTTAAAATTTTAAAAATATAATTTTGATTTTTATTACTTGCAAATTATTTTTAATTTTTTTTTTTAAAATAAATCTAAAAATTGTTTTGAATTTTTTTTTTATATCTTTTAGGTCATAAATAATTTTTAAAATTTTAAAAATATAATTTTGATTTTGAGGGTTCGGGCAAAGATGGGTTAGAGAGAGAGAGAGAGTCTGCCTTCTCTCTAGAAATTGCCTAAATTTCTAGGGTTTTCTCACATCTAATTTACGCAATTTGGCTACGATGGTTGATGGGTTAGTGACTGAAGGTTCTCCTTCGCCTAAGGGGAGTTCGCACATCGTGAAAGATTTACTGTTTGAGAGGGATTTGTTAACATTGATGGACATCGTGAAGCGAAATGGGGGTAAAAATCAGTCTTCTACCTCTGAGATCGTTTTGGGTATGAGCCCTAGGGCTTCGATTGGGGTTCAGTCCGAGGTCCCTACTCCTAGTTCCTTTGTCGAAGCTATGGGTGGTCTCTGTTCCGAGATCCGAGACCTTGCTCAGCAACAAAAGCTTTGTTTTGGGGGAGAAGTGGTGTCGAGCCTTGCCGTTGTTCATTCGCAGGTATGGCTAAGGATTTATGGGTCAATTGCTTGGGCTGTTTGAAATGCCTGATCATTAGATTTTTCTTAACTAATTCATGCATTGAATCAATTTTACAGCACTGCTACATATGTTGAGATTGAGTTGCCTGTTCCAGCCGATGCTACCAACCCAAATGTTCGGACATCATTGGGATCTGCTTCATATGCACCAGAAAAGGATGCTTTGATCTGGGAAATTAAATCTTTTCCTGGTGGTAAGGTGAGAGTTTACCTCAATTTTTTCTCAATGTATTGTTTGCTAGTAATTTCTTGTTCATGGCTATTGGTTATGTGGGGCTACAGTATCTTTTCCACTTGCAATTTTGACATGGGATTTTAACACTCTTTGCAAATTCAATTTAGGAATATATGATTTAGGAATATATGCTTAGAGCGGAGTATACTCTTCCCAGCATAACATCTGAAGACGCAGCTTCTGAGAGAAAAGCTCCTATACGTGTGAAGTTTGAGATACCATATTTTGCTGTTTCAGGAATCCAGGTTTCCCCTCTCAAATACAAATTTTTTTTATTTTTTTAATTTAATTTTTTATTGAATAGAAAATTCAGATATTGTTGCATTTATATCTGCAATTCTTCATCCTTTCTGTGTCTGCTGTGTTTGCGTCTTTTTTTTCATTTTTTTTAATCTATCTAGACAAAGGTGGAACGGATAAAACCAAACCCTGTGTTCCAATCAGGAATGATAAGCCAAAACCAAACCAAACTTTGCGTTCCAATCAGGTGGGAGGATTCATACTTGATGTGGTTGAACACTCAAATCTGATGCAGGATATCACTCCCTGTTACATGCATGTAGCCATGCACCTACCATTACTGCTCTGCTCTCCTTGATCAAATCAACAAATATAAAAAAAAATAATAATAATAATAAAAAAGGTTGGTTGTTGGACTGAGAATACTATTTCACTCACTTTCCAGGATTGCAGGATACATAAATCTGCATTTTGTATGACTCTTTTTTGGGTTTCATTATGCCCTAAAATGCTTGTCCTCCCAACAGAGGTCATGAATGACTGTGAACGACTGCTCCCCTATAACTACCTATTCCAATATTACTTCCTTTTGACTCTGCATTAAAAGGGTCAACCTGCTTTTTAAATTCACAGATGTGGATACAAAAAAAGGCCAAACTACTCTCTGTCTGTCTCAGCCATTTTGGCACTGTAATTTGTCATTAGCCATTTACAGAAGCTGTGCTTGTTGAAGTGGTATTCCTGCTCCTGCACTGTATTTCCTTTTAGAATAGAATAGCATGTTGAACTTAGAGATGTGGTTTTCCACAGATGTTAGTGATTGAGCATGATTGAACCTATGTATTATAATTATTCTGATTCTTACTTGCTGCTTTCTGCTGCTGGGATGTGAAACTTCTAAACCTTAAGCGAAGGGGTTGATGCCTACTTGCCCTAGTTCTGGTCTTGTTCTTGTTCTGAGGAGTGAACAGTGCCACTGGTTTTAACTTTGAAATTTATTTTATTTTATTCAAGTTGGTTGGGGAAACTGCTTTGGTGACTCTTCATGATGATGTATTCCTACTGTTTGGTTCTTCTGGATGCTCAGTTTGGTTCTTAACGTAACGTAACAACCATAATAAAATAATATCCTTTATTTATGTAAATGTTGTGTTTTGTAGGTTCGTTACCTAAAGATTATCGAGAAAAGCGGCTACCAGGCTCCTCCACGTGCGAGATACATAACCATGGCCGGCGAGTATGAACTAAGACTTATGTGAAAATCCATTTCCACCTGTTGGTGTTCTCAATCTCTACAAACTCGCATGATTTTGCACTTTCGTGGGCAAAATGAGCCTATAGGAGAGTTAAATTGCCCCTATATAGACAAATAGCTAATTGAGCAAATTCTTGTGCGTCCGTTTTCTTTGTTGAAGTCATTGTTGATTATCAACCAGAGGTTTGTAGAAGTTGATGTTTACTAGCAAAGTTTATTCAGACTCTTGTGAAAATCAAGTTAACTTTTGTGAATTAAAGTTTGTTTGTTTGTGATATTTTTATGAACTCGTCCGCTTTTTATGTTTTTATTATTAATTCAAAAACCCGAAGGTATATGCATCAGCACAAGATGATTGTCATGGTAATTTATGTATGATAGAAAAGCCTTGTTCTTATGATGTCAGAGCTTCATGTGTTCAGTTACATGATCATCTGATGTCCACTTGCATTACAACCTAAACTAATTGATGTGCACTTTGACATCAAGGCATTAATCTTTCCTTTGGCAGGTACGCATCTTTTGGACCTGAATATGCCTACCCACAGGTCAGTAAATTCAAATCTCAACTGCTAATGGGTATTTTGGTACTCCAGTTGGTTCTGGAAAGGAATATGTGCACAATCATGGTGTGTTCTGTCTATTTTTTCAGGGTGTCTACAATCCTCACATGGGTCAGCATTACCTTCAAATATATGGCGTACCAGGCATAGTTAACACAAATATTGTCCCATATGGACAAATGGGTCATCTTTTCTCTGGCAACCATGGGTATCCAACCATTCAGGGCTATGTGACACTAGGTCGTCATGTTCTGCAATATGGGGGACCCCTCGTCAGTGGAGTAACTACAGACACTATTGTCATAACTCAAGCACAATACCTTGCAGGTAACTCTCTCTATCTATCTCTCTCTCTCTCTCTCTCTCTCTCTGCTTTGAGCTGGGAAATGAGTGTGAAAATGATGCATACCAGATTTGGCATATAGCCCCAAAAATTATCAACCTGGAGTTGCTACTGCAATTTTGTTAACAATACATATTTGCGTATGTGCATACGCCTAAGTGTATAAATGTCCATCCATGTTACACACAGACATGCAATTCTAGAAGCATTACAGTTTTGATTGTCAATATAATGATAATTAAGTGGAGACCAATTCATTCTTGCACAGATCCAGGATCATGTGAGATGTTTAGGATCAATAAAGATGTGTGATTATGGCTGAACCGAAGGTAGCTTGATGAGGCATCCTTCTGGCTGCTGTATGGTTGTTTTGGGCCTTCTGACTACTGTATGGCTGATCTAGCAAGTTTCTTTCTTCTTTTTCTTCTTAGAAGCTTCCAACCAACCATACAACTTTTGGTTAATACCTTCCTATATGATGTTTAGCTCCTGGTAGGAGCTATTGCTGAACAAAAGGGGTTAAAAAAAAAAAGAAAAAGAAAATGTTATTTCAAATCTGCCTCCTTAGAATAACATATTGATAAAGAAGATATTCTCTAAGCAATACTATATCCTATAATAAGGTTATTTATGTGATGGTTGGCATTGCTTTAAGGGTGAAGTTTTAGGAATTGTTGGTTTGATGATGCTCCTCAAAATTGTTACTCTGACCTTGTAAGGATTGGTTAGGACAGAGATGTTAGTGGCTAATATTGTCAGTATTAGTAAAGTGATTGTTCTCTTGTCATAATTTCATTTCAGTACATTATTTTAGTTAGCTTGGAAATAGAAACATGAGGAAAGCATAAAAAAATGTTTGTAAACAAAAACCAAAACCTACCTTAATGGATAATTGAACATGGTTACACTAAACAAGGTTTACGAATTGCACACACACACACACACACACACACACATATGTATATATAAAAGAAGAAGAATAAACATGGACAACAAGAGGGTGATGTTCACAGTCTTATGCGTAATTGTTTACGATGTGCACTGGGTATAACCTTTTTTTGTCTGGATTGCTCTCTCCTCTTGTTGGTTTAGCATTAGGCATGGCTGGCTGAGATGCAAATTAGCAGCCTCTTGATAAATATTTTGGTCAAAGATAAAACTTGAAAATTTGAAATCTTAACTTTTGTCAAGTGTTTTCATAAAATGCTAATTGATTACCCCCCCAAACACACACAACACACAATTTCTTCCTCATTTAAGAGAGTGGAGGGCTTTGGTTTGTTCTAAAGTAATAGCATCTTAATGGGTTGGTAGTTTGTGATTGCAGCTTACTCTTTTTTCAGGATTTTTCAGTTATCAAATGGTTCGAGATGCAAATGAAGGTATATTTATCTATTATAGCAGTTAATCCTGGGCTCATTTTAATATTTGGGTCTCTGGACATTTATTGTTTTTATTGATTACAATTTTTCTTCATCATCTAATGTGTGGCATTAAAGACATTTCCTGAGTTTCAATCTTGTAGCATATAACACTTCATATGCTCATTTGTACTTGTTCCTGCATCAGTGACTCATGCAGCCACACAGCTCTCAATTAAGGAATAGTGGTTCTGATTGAGATTTTATAATTGCTACTGATTATAGTTGAAAGTAGTCATCAACTTGATGCATTATAATTTTGTGAAATTGAATGAAAAGAAATACCCTTGTCCTTGAAGTTTGTTTTATTCCAATAGGTTTGTTTTAATATTTCAAATGAATTTTTATTGGTGGATTGTTTCATGTTGACTCCCACTAGTTGATTGATCAATATTGAAGCAAGTGTTTCAGTGGAATTTCTTCCATGAAGTCCATAATATAATGTCATATTCCCAAGTAAATGATTTGTGGCAAGTAGCATATCACTATGTGCATGCAATTAGCTTGTGGAAACTGCTCGTCCACTTAGGCTTTGAGTTCAATATTGATTAGTGGAAAGTATTTTAAATTTTTCCTTACTAACAAATTGTTTCTGTTTTGAAACTTTTCTCCACACTTAATTATCATCCAAATACCAACAATTATCGATATGGAAATAATAAAAAAAGAAAAGTACAACTATTCAAGCCATGTATTTATTGATGTGGAAATAATTTTCAGCTCCTTTGGTCGATCAAAAACTTGACATTTAACAGTTTACCTTGCTAGAATAACAAAGTTTATATCATAATCTTTTAGTTTGTGATATTCAATCAAAAGTTTTACAACTTCCCGAAATAAAGTTTGTAGTTATGACATTTCCATTACAGAGTTTGATTAAATCACCAATTCTGGATATCAGAGTACTGCACTGAAATTTTATGTATCAATTTTGAGTACTGCACTGAAAGTTTGTATCAATTTTATGTATCAATTTTGATATTCAAACAAAGTTTCTTTTTTCTTTCTTTCTGGATATCAAGTTTGTAGTTATGACATTTCCATTACAGGTTATTCTTTCTTTGTCTGGGCTTATCTCTCCCTCTCCTTTACAGCTGGGAAGTCTGGATTCGGGAGCCTCCTGTCACTTGGACATTCCCATAGGAAAACTTACAGGATTCACATGAAAGGCCCTGGAGGACATGGGGAGGTAGAAGTTGCTGTTTCTCGTGTTGTAGGTAAATAAGAAAATCATTTTTTTTCCCCCCTCATTCTGCAAGTCTTCTAATATTTTTTAGTTTTTTTAACCTTAATTTTATTGGTGATAATGTTTTTGCTGGTGAAGAATGAATTGAATTGATTCGTATTTCATAATTTGTAATGGAACTTTACGAACCTTGACTACCTTGGCGTTTGTTGGTAGAATTTCATTTAAATGTTTTTATTAAACTTACCATTCTTATTTAGCATAGCTGATCCACGCGAAACTCCCTTCCTTCCCCGTTCCAGAAACAGGTGCTTATGGTTTGACAGCTAGAAAGCTTTCTTCTGAAATATCTTCTCTAAAATAATTATTTCTTTTTCTTTTTTAATTATTTTTCTTGGTCGTGCGGGAGTGACAGTTTATCTATTATTGTTTTTCTTTGATACATTGAATTTGGCACAATAGAGGAAATTGATTCCTTTTTCCTTAGGTTTTTGTAAGTGCCCAATTTGTTAGGATTTGCTTGAGAAGTATGTAGTTTACAATATATTGATGTGGTTTGTTTTCTGCACTTGAATCGTGTCATTTTAAGCCTACTATAGTAATGCTTAACACTCACACACACACACACACACACACACACAGACTGCAACTAGATCAATAAAAAAGCTAATGGACTTTGTTTTAAACTTGTCATTGATCAATACAGATTGCTACAAGATCCTCCTTTTTGCTGGTGGCTGATGACTGTTGCTTGTTGGTCTGCTGCAGTTGCTGGTCTGCTGCAACTGTTGGTTTGCTGCTATTGCCGCCCCCATGGCTGATGCTTGCTGGGCTGTTGCTGTTGCAATGTTGCTGTGAGGCGGCTGCTACTAGATTTTGGCTTGCTGGATAAGTTTGTGGGTGATTTTCACGCCGTTTTTCCTGTCTTTGTTAGTTTCATGTTTTCATTTTGTTATCTGTTGTTTCTAATGTGGGTTCACCATTTGGATATATTTGGGTATTTTAGTGACTTTACCCTTTCAGGTTTTATACATTGCTTCTGAAAGCAATATCACTAGTGGTTTGTTTGCTTGCCCATCAACTTTAGGTGATTTCATATCAATGTTATTAGTTTGTAATAGTGGTGCCTGAGGGATGCCTCTTGTAAATCTGTAAATCTTATAAAATATATAAATTATTTTCAATCATTTTTGTTGGTAAATGTGTCGCCAAAAGTTTATTTTTGCCCACTCATATTGTGTTGTTAGAAGTGTATTTTTTGCTAATGCCAATTTGTTGTTGCCAAAAGTAAACCTTTATCGGCAAACAAATTGTCGGCAAATGGCAATATTTACCGTTGTAAATGTGTTGTCAAAAGTTTACTTTTGCCCACTCATATTGTGTTGCTAAAAGTATATTTTTTGCTAATGCTAATTTGTCGTTGCCAAAAGTGAAGTTTTATCGACAAACAAATCGTAGGCAAATGACAACATTTACCGACGTAAATGTGTCGCCAAAAGTTTACTTTTGCCGACGCATATTTTGTTGCTAAAAGTATATTTTTTGCCCATGCAAATTTGTGTCGCGAAAAGTGCCACACAATCATCATATTTGAATGACTTTTACCGACGCAAGGTAAATTGCCGACGATGGATGAAGGCTTTTTACCAACGACTATGTTCGTCGCTAAAGGCATTACTTTTACCAACGCATTGATAATTTCGTCGGCAAAAACTTTTGCCGACTCACTTTTGCCTACGAGTTGCCAACGTAGCTTTGTGTGTCGGCAAAACTCTTTGCCGATGAATTTTTCCTTTTAGCAACATATTTTGTTGCGTTACGAAAAATGCAATTTCTTGTAGTGAGAGACTACAAAGTATTTCAAACTTCTTCGAGATGCACAAAGTGAATTGTATCCGGGTTGTCAGAAGTTCACATCTTTGTCATTCATTGTTCGACTTCTACATTTGAAGGTGTTTAATCAGTGGACAGACAAGTATGTTGACATGTTTCTTGAGTTATTGAATGAGGCGTTCCCGTTGGGTGTGAAACTCCCGGACTCATATTATAAAGCTCAAAAGGTCACAACAGATTTGGGCTTCACGTATGAGACGTGGGATGCATGTCCCAACAGTTGCATGTTGTTTCGAAACGAGGACGCCAATCTTGATAAATGTGTCATATGCAACAGTTCTAGATGAAAATCAAATGGTGATGGTGGTTCAAATGTTCCTAACAAAGGTGGCAAACGAATAGCTGCAAAACAGAT